ACACGGCCTGCTCTCGTTGACCTCGCATCGCCTTTCTTAATATACGCGGGCATATGAAAAACGCACCTACCCCCCTCCCCCCACCCGAATCTACTCCTGAAACCAACAGCAAGTAAGAGTTTCACGTGGTCGTGCTTGTGTTCGTTCACACAAGGGCGTTTGCAACGATTATCGTATAATTGCCGTCGGTCGCTGGGACGAATTGAGTGAATGGCCACCACATTTTGTCGGGGAGTGTCCGCCACTCCGTCGACTGGCGCCTCGCTGTCCCCCGGGGAAGGTGGTCGTGCGGGTCCTCCCCTCTCCCCTCTCCCTGCCCTCCCCTCCGCTCCCGCGGTCACCCCTCATCTTCTGGGGTCTCGCATGGAGGTCATTGCCTCATTCCGATGAACGCCCCTCCTCACCCCTCCCCTCCTGATCCACCCCTCCCCCATACCGATCGTGTATTGTTGTGTTTGTGGTGTCTGGGTTATCAGACTCTCCTTGTCTGTCACACACACACACACACACACAAATACCGGCTCTCCCCCTTTCTATTGCTCTCCCTCCCATCCTTCCCTACCTCGTCCTCGTGGTATTATTCCGTAGAACCAATATGACCTTAGTACGCTAGACAAAATAGGAAGGGGCTATACCGTACCCTCCCAAAAAAAAGGAAAAACATGATTTCACGCGCATCATTTTCTTAGGACAAATTTGTGGGTAAATTTGAGACTTTTTTAAGACTACGAGTACCAGCTCGGATAAAAATTGTCCAAATAAAACGGCACGATTTGTCCCAGGCAAATGATGACACCTTAAATGATCGTGGCAGTATAGTCGTCGCTTCCCATTTCAGTGTGTGGCTCTGAGGACTAAGTTCTTTGCCTGAAGCGCCGAATCCCGACACTGCAATCGACGTAGGCGTTTCCGCATATTTTCCAGTCGTCTCCCATATTTCAGAGATTGAGTTTCTCACCACCCCCAGCTCTTCAGTTTCAGTTTTCCCCATTTCTCGTCTCCGCGAATACAGAGTGGCATGAGTACAGAGAGTCGTGTGCGACCCGTGCTCGTGCTGGTTCGATGGCGCCCCCTGGCGGCTACGGCCCACACCCCCAGCAGCAGCCGCGGTCCACCGCAATGCTCCCCCCCCCCCTCTCTCTCTCCAGCCAGGTGCGCTAGGACTGGCGCCTGGCGCCTGCCTCAGAGGCCCGCGGCGGGAGGTGTCGCAGAGGCCCGCGGACCCTCCTCGTGTGGTATAATATAGGGAGCCCTGGCCGTCGTCCCTCTCTCCCTCCCTCGCTCTCTCTCTTTCTCGCACCCCCTCGCGGTGTTGCAGAGGCATAGCAATGGAGCTGCGATCAATAAGGTGCGTGCACTTGGCCTTGCGCCGCCGGCCTCTGCGTCGCACGCGAAAATAAACAGTTTGTTTTATTACAAAACGTTTTTCGGCACTTGTCTAAATGGACGCTGCCCGCGCGCCTCGACATGCGGGTGGGTATAGCCGGTGAGGCGTTTCCCGAATCGTTTTCTTTCTGCGTCGGGACGTGAAGGACTTGCAGCTGGCAGTTTATCATATTTTTAAATAGCACCCCCTGCCGCCCCCCTAGTACCCGCCGCGGCCTTGACTTTGCTAACGGCTGGCGCGTCGAGCGTTTAGTCGATGGCTGAGCTGGCTGCTGTCGCCAGAGATGCATAATATGAAACAGCTGATGGCCGGATGAGCGCCGTCGCCTGGAGTATCGGCGACGTCGTCGCCTGGGGTATCGCCGGCGCCGCGGAGTGCGGGCGCGCTCGCGGGGGGTAGGCCCGCGGCCGACGCGAGCTCGCGGCGGGGAGTATCGCCTCGCCGCGGCCGGTGGCGCCTCCTGGCGGCAGCCCTGAGCGCCATGCGTCGAGTCGTCCCAACGACTCCGCACGGCGGCAGCTGTTGTGCGTCACCGGGACCGACCTATGGGGGCGTCGCGTTGTGTCAAGTACTACCCGTCACCGAGACTCTCGAGTGTTTTCGTCGCGCTTCCTCGCTCGGTCGGTACCGACCCACTCTCTTTTTAGACCTGTCGAAACAACAATAATATTGGGACTGGCGGGTTCACGTCCGAATGATCGGGACTGGACGGGGTGGGGGTGTTCTGTGGGCTGCCTACATAGACTGTTGGGACTTCTATTCTTTTTAATTGGCAGCGCGCAGTATATTTTTATTACATGGTTGGTGGCAACAAGTACTTTGTGTGACCCCTAAACGTCGTCGCAGAGCGCCCAAAATCTGCACAGCGTCATGCACGGCCTGACATTGATATGCGTAACGGAACCGGTGACGCTTTGTTGCTCACGCGATGACGAGAGGAACGTCATCCTTATTCAGAGGAGATGCATGACACTTAGTGAATTATGCCGATTTTCAAGAAGATGAAGATACTGAAGTGTTTTCACATTAACTGACCTGTTTTCATTTTCGCTTTCAAATGCGAAAGTGCAACAGCAGCGCCCTGGAGTGGTGCCATGACAGCTGGTGTCCCTGTCGTCCCCTGGAGGGGTGGTGGTGGTGGTTGGCCCGAGGTTGCGAGGCTCAACCAGCAGCGGCGGCTCAACCTCCGCGGAGTGTGTTGAACCCGCGCCGCGGCACGGCGAGGGGCCGGCCCAGCATTGCTCAGTCGGCCTGGGCCCGGTGGGGCTGGCTGCGGGGTCCTTGGGACCGCTGCCTACACTCTGAGCTGCAGCGCGCGCTGTGTGTGTGTGTGCGCGCGCGCGTGGTGCGTGTCCTAGTCGCCGTTCATTCACCCGTCTCTACTAGCGAGGCCAGGTCCCATTTGCACGCTAGACGCGCTAGAGGCGCCGCCGCTAGACGCGCTAGACGCGCTAGACGCGCCAGACGGGACGCGCCTGGCTAGGCTGTAACTCGTACGCGTCGCTACCCTAATTGAGCGGGTCTCTCCTCTCCTGTCCCGCTCCTCCACTCTCACTCGCCCGCACTCTCGCTTTCTGCCCGCGCCGAGCAGCGCAGAGGAACCTGCTGTCTGAGCCGGCCGCGCGCGCTGCGTTTCTTTCCGCTTCGGTTGGAGACAGCGTCAACAGGGCGATTGAATTTCATTTCGGTGTCTAGGTAGGGGAGGCTGCTGCGGAAAACTCCAAACCAATGTCGGCCATAGCCCACACTGTTAAAACAAAGGGCTTGGTGCAACTGCTAAACACTTGCAAGTGTGCACCTGTAAGTTGAATACTTGCAAAGTTTTCAACTCCGTAGTGGTTTACTGTGCAAAGTGTTCAACTCGGTCGCTGTGCACTTGTGAGTTTGCAACTACTCTGCACTTCCCACACAGGAAAGCCGGCAAATCTAAGGAAATGCGCATACTTGCAGGGGCAGTGCCTGGGTCCACTTTTAAGTGGTTCATCAGTGTGCAGCCGCAGTACTGACCCCCCAAGTTACCCGCCTGCCAAGTCGCGGCCCGGTGGGCGCCGACATGTCCCAGTAGTGCACCAAGGATCGCTGTGTCTGTGGTCGCGGTGCAGGCCGCGCAGGCGGTGCGCAATGCTGTAACTGCAGAAATAGCGCTGTCGTGCGGCGGGGCGTGGCAGGGCTCAGCGGGGTGTGGCGGGGCGGGGCGGGGCGGGTCACAGCAGTAGAGTATTGCCGGACGGGCGGCAGTAGAGCGATCGTCGACCCTAGCCGCTCCCTCTCTCTCTCCCTCTCTGCCGAGGCCCCTGTCGCCCGTCTCGCTCCCTCCCGTCGTGACCTCGCTCCACTCAAGTGCCAGTGCTCCCTGTGCTGCTCACCCCCTCCTCGCTAGGCGAGGTCCCTGCTGGCTGGGCTAGCGGGTCACGTGCTATACGCCCCTCCTCCTCCTCCTCCTCCTCCTCCTCCTCCT